AGGCAATCCACTCACCTCAGCCTCCCAAAGGCGCAGGATTTCAGGTTGAGCCACCGAGCCTGGCCTTTTTTTTTTTTTGGTCAGGTCTTACTCTGTCACCTAGGCAAGAGTGCAGTGGCATGCTCACAATCACCGCAGTCTCGACCTGCTGGACTCAGGCAATCCTTCTGCCTCAGCCTTCCAGGTACCTGGAACTACAGACGTGTACCACCATGCCTGGCTAATTTTTTGATTTACTGTAGAGATAAGATCTCACCAAGTTAGCCAGGTGGGTCTCAAACCCCTGGGTTCAAGCAACTCTCTCACCTCCGCTTTCCAAAGTGCTTGGATGACAGGCTACTGCACCCAGCTGACATCTATTTTTTTAAGGGTATCCTGAACACTGAGAAGGAAGGGATGGAGCCCAGGTTAACAGTTCTATTGGCCGCATCACGTTTACAGTGCCAAATGGACATCTGAGTCTGGGCGTGGTGCCTCACGTCTGTCATCCCAGCACTTTGGGAGGCTGAGGCAGGAGGATGGCTTGAGGCCAGGATTTTGAGACCAGCCTGGGCAGCATAGCAAGAGGCCATCTCTACAAAAATAATTCGCGGGGCATGGTGGCTCCTGTAGACCCAGCTACTCAGGAGGCTGAGGCAGGAGAACTGCTTGAGCCCAGGAAGTCAAGACTGCAGTGAGGTATGATTGCCACATTGCACTCCAGCTTGGGCAACAGAGCAAGACATTATCTCTAAAATAAAATAAGCGATTTGCGGTGGGACAGAGAGCTGACACAGGCTGCATTTATGTTTGGAGGCCCTGGCTGTCTGGAGGTGTGGGCAAATGTGAGATGGGTCCAGCAGGCCTAAGGCTGCTTCCTGGAAAAGACTTGGTGCATGGGGACATGGCTGGCAGACCCCTAGACACAAATCTCTAGCATGTGGCTCCATGTCGGCACCCTCTGCCTGCACTTTTTGTACTAACAATGAGGTTTCTGCTAAATGCTGACTTTCTTTCTGGGAGGCTGGAACCTTGGCCCGTGCTGGGCAGAGGGTGCGGACGTGACTGGCCCCCAGTGAAACCTGGGCATGGAGTCTCCAGGGAGCCTCCATGATCCACATGCTGCATATGTTATTACAACTTGCTGTGGGGCGATTAAACGTGTGGTGTGTGGGCCTACCTGGAGAGGATTCTGGAAGTTTCTGCCTGGTTTTCTCTGGACTCCTCCCTTTGCTGATTCTGTACTTTTTGCAGTGACACACCTTGGCACGACGGCTATGTGCTGAGTCCTCTGGACCACTGACCCTGGGTGGTCCTGGAGGGAGACGCCAGGGAGGTGGGCAGGCTGCTGGCCAAGTGGTGTGCCAGGTGACACAGCTCTTGGGGGGGCTGTTCTTGAGAGGTGGAGCAGGAGGGGGCTTGGAACTGAGCTCAAACTGGCCACATGGAGGCTGTCAGGACCAGGGGAGGATCCCGATGCTGACAGAGGCCAGGCAGAGCACGGGGCATGCAGGTGGACTGGGAGTGGGGACACCCCTGTGCTCTCCCACAGGGAGTGTGGGCGGGCAGGGCCGTGGCTGTAGGGGTATGGATGGGAGCTCAGTCTTCTGACACTGGCTGCCACCTTGCTGAGGGAACCCACAGCCTTGACTCCAATCTCGCCCAGGCCCTGAGACCCACCCATCACACCATCCACATCTGTGTGGCCAACAGGGGAAACGTGGCCGTGAACACCCTTAGACTTTGAAGTGAGCTTTAATTTGTTTTCCTCAAGTGCATTCACTGATGTAAACAGAGCATGTTAGAGGTTCTGGGGGAGCAGACTGTTGCTGGTATGTCGGTTTAATTAAAAAAATAAGAGACTGACAGTGGCTGAAGAAAAAAAAGAAGAAGAAAAAGAAAAGTCTCCCTGCTGACACCCTCCGGCCTGGTGGCCCGGTCCCCATCGCAGTCTCTACGGGACAGAGACCTGTTGAAGCAAATCCAGCTGAAAGTCACCCGGACAGCCGTGCGGTGGGTCCACGGCCGTGGAACGCCTCGTGTCCGGCCAGGGGAGCGGCACCTGATCCCGACCGGCCAGGTCTGCCATGGGAATGAAAGGTGCCTCGTGGCACGACAGACCTGGAGAAGTAAACATGGCAGCTGGAGAGGGCCTCTGACCTGGAAGAGGGGAGGGCACAGCGAGGTGCCATTCTGGCGTGCGAGGAGGGTTCCCGGCACTGGAGGGCTGCAGGGGTGAGGCTGCGTGTCTGGGGCCGCTGGGCACACAGCGACCCTGGGTGCCGACAGGACTGCCCGGGGCCTGGCCTTGAACGGGCTGCGCCAGCTCTCTCTCAGGCTTCACGCCGGACTTCCTCCACACAGGCTCCCCTTTGGCTTCACAGGCAAAGAGGACAAGGGTTTTTGTCACCTGTCCAAATGGGAGAGAAAGTGGCAGCAGGCCCCGGGATGGCTGGGCGGTGCCGCTGGGCCCGGCACCAGTGGCCCTGCTCGGGGTGGGGCCTGTGTCCAGCTGCCGCGGGCCTCGGGCCATGGCTTCTGCCGTAAGGGGGAGGCCTGTGCAGGCTTCTTGGTGGCTGTCATGGTGGCAAGGGTGGAGGCCCAGATGGAGGCGGATACTGGGTGCCGTCGATGGTCACGCCTCGGCCTCTCTCCCTCTCAGTACGTGGTAAGCGGGTGAGCCCGTTCAGTGGATGTTACGAGAAAAATAGCAAATTTTAACTTACTCCATCTCCAAAGTTGAGAAAGATCAGGCAGTTACTAAAATAAACGATTTTGGAATTGCATTCTGGTGGCGCGGGCCCGGCAGCCACTGCAGGAGCAGGCGCTGGAGGTGGGAGGCCCCAGCTGAGTGAGGGGCTCACTCAGGGCGGGCACAGTCAGGTCGGCCGAGCGAGGCTCAGAGTAAGGCGGCTCTCCTCACAGAAGAACACATCGGAAGAAGCTGCTCCTCTTCTGCTGGTCGGGTGTGATCTTGACTCCCTGGTTGCTCCCCTGGGGGCTGTTACCTTCCTGAAACCACAGGTTTTCTGGGGTTACCACTGGGCATCAGCACCACGTATCATAACCAGCCAATCATCTATCTCCATCTGTCACCTGCTAACCATCCAACCACTCATCCATCCATCGCCTTCTCATCACATAGCCCTGCCAACCGACCAACCAACCGCCCATCCGTCCGTCCGTCCGTCCCCTTCTAACCACCCAGCCCTCCGATCAACCAAGCATCCATCCATCCGGCGCCCTCTGACCATCCGGCCCTTCCGACCAACCAGCCACCCATCCATCCATCCATCGCCTTCTGACCATCCGGCCCTTCCGATCAACCAAGCATCCATCCATCCAGCGCCTTCTGACCATTCAGCCCTTCCAACCACCCATCCACCTCTCCAGCGCCTTCTGACCATCCGGCCCTTCCGACCAACCAGCCACCCATCCATCCATCCAGCACCTTCTGACCATCCAGCCCTTCCAACCACCCATCTACCTCTCCATCGCCTTCTGACCATCCGGCCCTTCCGACCAACCAGCCACCCAACCATCCATCCAGCGCCTTCTGACCATCCGGCCCTTCCAATCAACCAAGCATCCATCCATCCAGCGCCCTCTAAACATTCAGCCCTTCCAACCACCCATCCACCTCTCCAGCGCCTTCTGACCATCCGGCCCTTCCGACCAACCAGCCACCCAACCATCCATCCAGCGCCTTCTGACCATCTGGCCCTTCCGATCAACCAAGCATCCATCCATCCAGTGCCTTCTGACCACCCAGCCCTTCCAACCACCCATCCACCTCTCCAGCGCCTTCTGACCATCCGGCCCTTCTGACCAACCAGCCACCCATCCATCCATCCAGCACCTTCTGACCATCCAGCCCTTCCAACCACCCATCTACCTCTCCATCGCCTTCTGACCATCCGGCCCTTCCGACCAACCAGCCACCCATCCATCCATCCAGCGCCTTCTAACCACCCAGCCCTTCCAATCAACCAAGCATCCATCCATCCGGCGCCTTCTGACCATCCGGCCCTTCCGACCAACCAGCCACCCATTCATCCATCCAGCACCTTCTGACCATCCAGCCCTTCCAACCACCCATCCACCTCTCCATCGCCTTCTGACCATCCGGCCTTTCCGACCAACCAGCCACCCATCCATCCATCCAGCGCCTTCTGACCATCGGGCCCTTCCAATCAACCAAGCATCCATCCATCCAGCACCCTCTAAACATTCAGCCCTTCCAACCACCCATCCACCTCTCCATCGCCTTCTGACCATCCGGCCCTTCCGATCAACCAAGCATCCATCCATCCAGCGCCCTCTAAACATTCAGCCCTTCCAACCACCCATCCACCTCTCCAGCGCCTTCTGACCATCCGGCCCTTCCGACCAACCAGCCACCCATTCATCCATCCAGCACCTTCTGACCATTCAGCCCTTCCAACCACCCATCCACCTCTCCAGCGCCTTCTGACCATCCGGCCCTTCCGACCAACCAGCCACCCACCCATCCATCCATCGCCTTCTGACCATCCGGCCCTTCCGATCAACCAAGCATCCATCCATCCAGCGCCCTCTAAACATTCAGTCCTTCCAACCACCCATCCACCTCTCCAGCGCCTTCTGACCATCCGGCCCTTCCGACCAACCAGCCACCCATCCATCCATCCAGCACCTTCTGACCATCCAGCCCTTCTAACCACCCATCCACCTCTCCATCGCCTTCTGACCATCTGGCCCTTCCGACCAACCAGCCACCCATCCATCCATCCAGCGCCTTCTGACCACCCAGCCCTTCCAATCAACCAAGCATCCATCCATCCGGCGCCTTCTGACCATCCGGCCCTTCCGACCAACCAAGCATCCATCCATCCAGCGCCTTCTGACCACCCAGCCCTTCCAATCAACCAAGCATCCATCCATCCAGCGCCTTCTGACCACCCAGCCCTTCCAATCAACCAAGCATCCATCCATCCGGCGCCTTCTGACCATCTGGCCCTTCCGACCACCCACCCACCCCTTGCCTTCCATTCAAAATCAACCGACCATTCATCCCCTTGCAACCAACCGTCCGCTCGCTACTGTCCATCCGACTGTCCTTTCTATTCATCCAGCCTTCCAAGCCACCACCCGTTTGTCCCCTTTCAACCATCCATTCTCCTCCACCCATCCCTAAATCTCCTTCCAACCGCCCATCTGTCCGTCCATCCCCTGCCAACCACCCATCCCCCCGAATGTCCCTTCAATTTGTCCTTCAGAAGCAGACGCACTTCCACCGCCCTCTCAACCCTGTCTCTTCAATCGTTGATTCACCCGCCGTCACCATTCCCACTCACTCCCCACCGTCTTCCCAACCATCTCTGACCCCGCCTCACTCTGTTTTCCACACTTCGTTCTGTCCATCGACCCACCCCTCCCTTTCATCTTTCCAGCCATCTACCCATCTGTGCTGAGTATGTTTCACTGAGGCAGAAGAAAGACTGTCCCGATACAGGAGGCCTGAGTTCAAGGTCACTGCCATTTACAGCCACTTGCTCTTGGTGTTTCTGTGCCACAGCTCTGCCTCCCCATTCCGCCCCCTCTAATATGTACTGCCAGGGACATAACTAAGCTCAAACTTTGTAAACTCATTCCCTACTGAACACCCATCGGTGCGCCCAGTTTTAGTGAAGAACGTCCCCAGCCTGTGATTTGGCCTGCTGAACCCAGGAACTCCAATCCTGTCTTCTCCCACCTTACCCTCTTTGAAACCCTTCCCACCACCCTGCTCCCCCAACTTTTCTTTAATGAGCTTTCTCATCTCTCAGGTAAGCCTGGAATGATTCAACTGCAGTTACTGCAGGCCTGCAACGTGCCAGGTGCATTTCTGGGCACTGGCCATGCAGTGGCCGAGGACACAGGCCCCGCTGTGGGTACTCACCCCGCATGGGAGACAGGCAACCGCCCCATTTCCCACAGCAGTCAGTGAGGAGGGCAAGGAATGATGGATGGACAGTCTGGGTGTACCATCAGCAGAGCGTGGCCTCCAGAGATGGCCACGCCCTAAGTCCTGGGACCTGTGGGCACGTTGCCTGACATGGAGAAGGGACTCTGCTGACGTGGGGGAGGTGGGTGGGCAGCCGGGGTTATCCAGGTGAGCCCAAGCCAGCCCGTCCTCAGTCCTTGAGAATGGAGCAACCATCCCAGCTGCGATGCGTCAGGGATGGAGCAAGGGAAGGGAAGGGGTCTAATGTGCCTGCTGACATCTGTGATTCAGTTCAGAAACAGAAGCTGCCAGGACCAGAGCTGCCCGCCAGCACTTCATCACCTACAGCCTGAAAGAACCCGGCACGGTCTCCAGGCACGCAGCAGGCTGGCACTGAAAGCAGGGGCCGAGGAAGGCAGGTGTCGCGGAAAGGCTTGGGGGCCAACATGCCGCGTTGCTGGTAGTCACGGCACGAGTCCCATGGGCTGCTGCCCAGTTCGACTTCATGGTCAAGAGTGGCTATTGAATTAATCATGGGCTTTCCTCTCAATGCACAGCAGCTCAGAATGTCGAGGATACATTGGCTTCAAGCCAGATGGAAATGACCTGAGTGGCCTTCTGGATCGCAAGGAAGGGCCAGATGGCATGCAGGTGCCAAATGCCCCAAAGGACAGGGAAGTGCTCCGACTCAGGCAGGAAGGCACCACGGACAGTGGGCGCCTGGGACCACAGACAAGGAAGCAGGAGAGGACTGAGAGGCTGGCTGGGGAGGGCTTTGCGTGGACCTCCCCGGAGACCCAGACAACCCCGGGACCCAGTGGAGGTCAAGGGCTGCCGCAACCTGCAAAACCTGGGGCTGGGCTGGACGGGGGCCTGTCGATCTGCCTTGCCTGTCAAGATAGGGTGCAGCGGCTGTCAGACACGACGCATGGGCCCCACCACAATGTGGACACTGCCTGGCGGAGCGGTTGCAGAGCGCTTTGGAGGAACTCTCTCTGCGAGCACCACGTGAGCCGTGTGCCTTCTCACAAGCACACGGAAAGGGCCGTGTGCACCTGTTGCCCAGGGACTGGTGGCCAGCGCTTGTCCGCGGGGCAGCATGCCTGGCCGGCAGAGCTGGTGCAGTGCCCTAACCACACCTGCCGGCTCTTGCCCTTCTCCTGGCAATGCCCCTGGGTCTGGTTGGGACCTCCACAGGCAGCCTGACGTGGTCATGCCACTGTGGCGACGATGGCCAGATGCATCAGATGAACACGGGGACCTGGGAGGAACGCACACTCACCAACTTTTTGTCCATTTTTGCTTTGATGTCTCTGGCGAGAGTGAAAAACGCCTGTGGAACAAGCATCCCATCAGGGGCCTGGAGGGCAGGACCCAGAGTCCTTGGCTGCTGCGCGGAGGGCCAGACAGGAAACAAGGCGGCTTCCTGGGCGTGGTCTGTTTGGCTCTTGATGCTCACCATGCAGTGGGCTCTGCTGGCCTGTCCAGCCCTCCTGTTCTTCCCCGGCCCCCTGCCCACCTGGACGGGCCCCCGGGCTAATTCTCACTTGCGCAGAGCACCGAGTCAGCAGAGCATTTCCACACGGGCCACCGCCCCTCAGGCAGCACCCCTGCGAGGGAGGGCTACACTCAGCTGGCCAGAGAGGAAACTGAGCTCAGAGAGACCAGGTGACTTATCTGAAGGTGCTCAGTGGTTAACTGGCCGATGCAGAAAGATCGGAAGGGCATTCAGCTCTCTGTCCCTGACTTCTGGGTTCTGCCTGTCCACTGTGACCCCTTTCTGACTGTCAGGGAGAAACACAAGCAGCTCTTTGGCCAAACCAGCTTCACTTTGAGCCACTGCACGGCAGGGAGGTGTGGAGGCCAGGAGGGCGAAAGGCTGGGGCCGCTGATATGGCCTCCTGAGTGTCCCCGTCACCATAAGCTCTCTCCACAAATGCCTGCGCTCCCTCTCTGTGTGCTCGCCCGGCTTCGGGAGAGGCCCAGTCTCAACTTCCCCTGTGAGTGGGAAGTTCTCTTGAGGAGGGTGGGTCGTACCCCTTTTCCCCTTAACTCACCAGGCTGGACACTGACAGGTAAATAGAAATCTGACGGGTGGAAACGGGAGTACTAGGGGAGGGGCAGGTGCAGCAAAGGTTGGAGGGAGAGCACCCAGGTGGCCTAAGGGGGCATGGCCTGAGCCCTGGGCACAAACGCCAGCAGGTGCCAACAGGAGGGCGTTCTAGGCTAGCCAGGAGCCTGGCCTTCATGGGCAGAGGGGTTTAGGTCGGGAGTGGTGTGGAAGACCCAGCAGAATGGGGTAGACATTGGGTCAGCCGCCAGGCTGGCATTGCCCCACGAAAGGAAGAATGGTCGGGCCCAGGTTTTGTCAGGGTGCCCTTCTCTGTCTGGGCTTCTGACCTGGGCCGACCCATGTGCAGGTGGCACAGCTGAGCGCGTAATCTGAGCTGGGCCTGGGCGCCCTACCAGCTGGGACGCCCGAGCCTCAGTTTCCTCCTCTGCAAAACCGTGCCTGCTCCCGAGGGATGCCTGAGCGCCAGCGAGCCGGGTCCGGTGTCCTGTGTGGGCCTGGGCCTGCCCTCGTGCTGCCAGGAAGTGGCTTCGGCAGACCTCCTGGGCAGCCAGGTCTGAGGCCAGAGCTTGGGTGGAACTCCCAAGCCAGCCCAGCCCCCGGGCTGTGGGCAACCGAGGGCTGTGTCTCCACAGGGCCCGGGACTCACGTTCTCCACATTGATGTTGGCCTTGGCGCTGGTCTCCATGAACTTGATCCCGTAGTCGAGGGCCAGCTGTGGGGGCAGGCACACGCACGCGCAGTCAGCAGCGCGGCACCTGACCGTGCTTCTTGAGGGGAGATGGGAGCAGCGGGCAGGGGCTGTGGCTGGGGCTTCCCAGGCCCCCTGGAGTGTGGGTGGGAGCCCGTCGTGGAGGTCGGGAGAGGCCCCGCTGGGCATCTTCGGCCTGGCCCTGCTGGGCCTCTGCCTCCCCCTCCCACCCGCAGAAGGTACAAGCCAGGGCAGCTTGTGCTCACGGAGGCCGTGGCACACGGGGGCCCAGGGTATGGCAGGGGTGGGGAGGCCTCTGAGCAGGGGCCCTGAGACCCCCGGCCTGAGTGTTGCACCCACCTTTTCTCCCCGCTCCTTGGACACTTGTCTTTTGTCGTTGACGTCACACTTGTTCCCGAGTATCATCTTTTCCACATCTGCAGAGGCGTGCTGGGGGCGGATAGACGGGGTCAGCCTGGACAGCATAGACCAGGTGCCTCGGCCGAGGTACAGCCCGTCTCCCGAGACCAGCGGGGGGCCAGGGACGGGTGGAAGCTCAGAGAGGTTGGGCAGGAGCCCTGCATCACACAGCCAGTGTAGCTAGGGCTCCAGCTGTGACTCTGGCCAAGCGCATTTTCCAAAATGCCTTCTGATTAATGAGAGCAGCTTCTCCGAGTAGTGCCCTGCAGGCCCTGGGCCTGGACTGCTGGTGAGGTCTGGTTTCCCTGGGGGTTCCGATATTCACAAGGCTCCAATATTTGCACCACCCACATCCTCTCTCTGCCCACGGCTCCTCTTCAGGAGGCCCCAGCTCCTGCCCTGGGACCTTCTGCTCCAAGCTGTCTCTTCAGGCTCCAGAACTGGCCAGAAGTAGCCCTGTGTGTCACCATCCCCAGGTTGCCTTAACCTGCCTTAACCCCTGTGGAGTGGATCTTCCTGAGACAGGACATCGGCAAGTACCTTCTCCCAGCAGCGCAGACCTGATCTTGGTGGCACCTGTAGCTCACCCCGCCTAACTTCCTGTGACCCAGAAACTCCCAGCCCACCGCCCAGAAGCAGACCAGAGTGGCAGTCTCTCCTCTCCACTGATTCAAACGTGTCCCCAGCCAGGTGAAGCCTTGCACCAGCACTCGACAACTGGACCCTCTAGGGGTCAAGGAGGTGGGCCCAGGGAAACTGCTCACACATGACAGGGTGGACTCTGCCTGGCCCAAGGAGCCACAAGTCCTGGGTGGACAGCAACATGACTTTGAGTCATGGCTTTACAGCTGGGCAGAGTTCCCTAGCTGTGACTCAGGCCTGAACCCCACCTGGTTAGTTATCAAAAACCTCGGGCGCCGCTGGCCAGGAAGGCCTGAAGGGGAGGTCATGTCTTTGGTGGCGGGGGGCAGGGGATGAAGACGTGGGTTCCAGGAAGGGGTGAGACTGGCCTCCTCCTTGGCCCTCCCTGGGTCAAGGTCTGAGACAGGTGGCTTGTACAAGATCACACCCTGATCTGATGCAGCTCAAAGTACAACCTGACCCGCCTGCTCACCACACCCTCCACATATGCTAGTGTGAGAACCTTCCCTCCCCAGAAGGCACCTGATGGGTGGCTCTGGTGGCCACAAGCTGCAACACCCCTGCTCCCACGGCTGAGTGGTCCCCGCTCCTGCTATGCCCCCAGCCAGGAGGCTTTTGGCAAGCTACCTCCAGGTGTCTGTGTGAGGACCAAGGGGGTGTGGAAGGAGCCGATAACCTCACCTCCTCAATGTTCCGGATCCAGTTGCGGATGTTATCGAAGGACTTCTCGTTGGTGATGTCGTAGACCAGCATGATGCCCTGCAAGGGGACAGAGGTGTGGGCTCTGGGCAGGGACGGCCACTGGGACGGTGGACGCCAGGGCCCCGAGCACAGGAGAACAGTGGCGCGGGGCCGTTGCCTGCCCTTCCCAACCCTGTGGCTTCCCGTGCCAGCACACTATGGTCTCACAGGCCAGACCCCACCACGACCTCGCTGATAGGCCAAGCCCAGCCCACAGTCCCAGCAGCCCACAAGGTCCTGTGGCTGTGAGCTGACCCGCCGGTTGTCGCACTCCCCTCACGCAGACCCTCCCCTGAAGTCGGCCTCTTCCTTCCTCTCCCCGCCAGGTCAGGGCCACATTCTCTGGGCACCCAGCACGCCCTCTGTGGTGGCTTCTGCATGAAGAGCACGGCAGCAGGGTTTGCTGGCGTCTCCCAGCCCTGGCTGGCGGATCATACTGTCCCGACTCTGTGGGTGGGGAGCATGACGGCGCTGGGTGGCCAGGCCCCCGTCTATGGTCACCAAGAGAGTAAACACTACAGTCAAACCCATAGCAGCCTGACACTGATCCCACCAGAGTGGGGGCTGGGCAGTGTGAAGAGCCTCCCAGTTACCTGACCAGGCAGGAACGAGGGGACAGCCTGTAGGTCCTGAGAGCAGCAGCGCAGCCCTGCCTCAGCCTGACCCTGATCTCATCACCCTTCTCTGTGGCGAAAGGCAAACATTCCCATGTGATACGGGGAAACTGCGGCACAGGATGGCATTGCAGACCCAGGCCACGTGGGGTGAGCCCTGGAGGAGCTAACCCTGCTGCTCCCAGGAGTCCCAGGTCCCATCCGCGCTGCCCTTTGCCAACCGGGTGCTGCTCTGCAGGCCCTCGGGGTGCCCACAGTGGCTAGGCTGCCGTGCCATCGCAGGGCTCCTGATCCCTGAGGCCTCAGGCTCACACCCAGGCCCAGGTAACTCCACTCTCCACGCACCTGCCCCAGGACACAGCCCTTCAGCTGTCTCAGGGGTGTCATAGACCGAAAACCTGGGGCCGCCCGAGTCTGTGCTGGGTGATGCTGGCTGCGGGGGGCACGAGGGTGTGGGAGAAAGCCGCATGGTGGGGGTGGGGCAGGGAAGCTGCTGCGGCCCCAAGTGTCCCGTGAACTGCGGGACATGACGAATGGCCTCACGGGCTGCCACGGCCATGGCCAGGACAAGACCCCCGATGCTGGCAGGGAGCCCGTCGGGAGTCTCTGGGGATCCCGCCAGCAGGAGTAGGCAGAGGCTTCAGCACCTGTGATACCGCCACCCAGCCAGGGCAGGCAGACCCCATGAGCTGAGCATGGTCAGAGCCAGAGGGGTGTGAGACCCTTGTCACCCTGCACACAGAATGGGCCCCTGACGGCTCTGGAGCCCTGCCACCACCAGCAAATTGGCGAATTGTGTCCAAGAAGCCAAACCCCTGGGTTTCTCCCTGCTGATGGGGAGGGGGCGGCCTGAGGGGCAGGGGGTGGAGCTCTCTGTTGGGGTAGGCAGGTCCTGGAAAACACAGGCCACCGACTCCAGGTCCTCCTTGAAACTCCCCTCAGGGCTCCCTGTGACCACCGTCAGCCCCCTGGGCACATCCCCGCCTGTGTCTGCTGCCACACATCGGTCTGCTCAAATCTGGGACATCTCTCTGATGGAGATGGCAATACCCCTGCAATGGTGGCCACACTGTCTGGGCTGTCCCATCCAGCCATTGCCGGCCAGAGACGCAGCTCTGGGGCACCAGAAACACAGCTACTTTGATGGAGGGGTGAATGTTTCCATTTTAATTGGTCTAAATTTCTTTCATTTTATTTCTGAGTCAGAGTTTCACTCTGTCACCCAGGCTGGGGTGCAGTGGCACACTCACAGTCACTGCAGCCTCAACCTGCTGGGCTCAGGTGATCCTTCCACCTCAGCCTCCTCAAGAAGCTGGAACCACAGGCATGTGCCACCACACCCAGCTAATTTTTTTATTTATTGTAGAGACGAGGTCTGGCCAAGTTGTCCAGGCTAGTCTCGAACCCCTGGACTCGGGCAATGCTCTCCCCTCCACCTCCCAAAGTGCTAGGATTATAGGCATAAGCCACTGTGCCAGGCCTAACTGGTCTAAATGTAAACGGCCCCATGGGGCCTGTGGCTTGGTTGGCCTGAGCCTAGGCGGATGGCCAGCCCGTCACTCTGATGCTGGGAAGATGTGGGCACTGCGACAGATAGCCCACCCAGGCTGGCCGGTTACCCTCTGCGTGGATCTGAGCAGGGCAGGCGCCAAGCCAACCCTAAGCTTCCTGATCATAAACAGAGATAGCTATGGTTCATGGCCAGGATGCAATGACATAACCTGGGCTAACATCCGGCCCAGTGCCTGGCGCAGGGGATGGCTTGGTGATTGGGGCTCTTTCAGCCCAGAGAGGGTTGGGACCTGCTTGAGGTCACACAGCGCTCCAGTGGCATAAGTTCCCAGGGATCGCAGAGCCCCAAGGCCCTGCCCCACCCACCACCAGAGCACAGAGGTGTGAGGGCAGAAGTTCACCCATTCAACGAGGAGAACTAGGGTTGCGCCCTGGTCGGACTTCTGTTGTGCTCAGAGCTGCATGGGATGCTACACACTCGATGCCTTCATTCACCTCCGCTGTCCCCGGGCTTTCCTGAGCACCTACTGTATACTGGCAGGTTCCCAGCACTGGGCATGTGGCAGCAACTGAGATGTGGCGCTGCCCGCATGGAGCTTAGGGTCTAGCCGAAGGAAAGACAGGTGCCCTGCAGCTGAACAAGGGGTGCGATGGAAGATGGGGTGACAGAGGCTGGAGTGGGGACCTGGGCCCTCGCCCTCACCGCAGCCCGGGACGGTGGCGTTCTCTGATCCACCTCCCAAGGACGTTGGAGCTCAGAGGGCGAGAGGGGTCTGGGGCCAGGTCCAGGGGTCCACCTTCCACTTCTGCCTACGGGGCCAGTCTTGGACAGGAGGACCCCGAGGGCATGTGCCCTACCTTCCCCTCGGCGACTTCTACATGCAGCTCAGGCCTGGCCCAGAGAAAGTGCTAGTAAGTATCTGCGTGACGGCAGATGAGTCTTCCTGCCACGTCACCTGTTTCAGGCCCGGGCGACAGATCTAGCAGCCAGCAGCCTGGGGCACATCAGCGCTTGGAAGGCCTTCCTGTTTTGGTAGAAATTCCACAGAGGCTGACGTGGGTCACGTGACCACCCCAAAATGCTGGGGCTTGCTGGCTCTGATTTCACTGACCTCACCTGGAAGAACCGGCTTCCTGTGTCTTCCTTCACTCCCAAAGAATTCTCAATTCAACTCTGCATTGTCTCGGAAGCCAGAGGGAGGTATACACACAGGACGGGGCAGGGCGCAGCCTCCTCCTGAAACTAGCTGGAGACCAAGGAGCCCAGGGAGCCGGGGCTTGGGCGCCACAGAAACATGCAGGCTTTGTGCCCTGGTGCATGGTGACAGTGGTGCTGACTTAAAAAAAGACAGAAATGAGACACACAGAATCCATACCATCGCGCCCCGGTAGTAGGCTGTCGTGATGGTCCGGAACCGCTCCTGACCGGCCGTGTCCCTGAACATGAAAAGGAAGATCAGCACCATTAAAGGCAAATCGTTGTCTCTCGGGAGAATAGGGAATGTCTGCCCATGTGTCTGCCGAGGCAGTACCTTCCAATCTCCCCGCCACCGCAGAGAGGGACTCCGTGGCTTGGGGGTCTAGCCAGGCAGTGGCAGGGCCTCGGGGACCTTGGCTGACATGCCCTCTCCTCTTCTGGCCTCCGCTTCTGGGGGATTCTCCCCAGTTTCTGGTCACAGAGGGGCCGAGATGTGGCCCACGACACAGTCCTGCTGCTGGGGGCTCAGGGAGCACTTTCCCAGCTCATCTTGGGTGATGACAAGTCCTTTATCATCTGCACACTAGGAGAGCAGTGCCACTACCCAGGAGGCAGCACCAGGAAACACCACCACGCCCAGTCAGCTCCTGGGGACACTTGGCGTATGACTTAAGAGTGACCCTACAAAGCAGGGTGGAGCTTGAGGCAGGCTGGTGCCTCAAGTCCAGAGCCCCTCCCGTGGCCCTACAGGACTGTACAAAAACGCTGCAGCATATGGCCCTGACTTTGTGGCGATAGAGGACGTGATGTCTGTGGTTATGAACAGTCATTTAATTCCCAACCACGGGCCTTCTTAGAAGAGTTCTGAGTCATGGCCCCACCAAGACTTCTAAGCGTAGAAGCAGGAAGGGGGAAAGAAACTTCTGCCGTGGGGACAGTATCACTTTGGACCTGAGAGCCAAAGTTAGGTAGTGCCAATGTATTGGAAGTGGAGAAACTTCCATGGCCCAGATCCAACAAGGTGGTGAGAGACAGACTTACTCTCAATGTCTACAGGACTAAAAGGGTTAAGCCCCACCCAGTTTTGGGTCTGAAGTTGAACGAAGAGGTGAACCTCATCTGGAGTCACCTGGAGTCGGGAGCTCCCACAAGGCTCCCCCAGAGTGCTATGAGCCAGGGCGAGGGGATGGCAGATGCTGAGATGCCTGAGGGGGAGGGAGCCATGTGGCAGGAGGGTGGCCTCAGGGCCCACCAGGCTCCCCACTCCCACCCGAAGGCACTGGCCACACTCTTAGCTGGGACTTCTCCATGTCTGCTCCGGGATCTCACCATGCCTGGCCCCGGGAGACTCCGGTTTATGGCCCAGCAAGGGGACTCAGAGTCTCTGCGTGTCCCTAGCTTCAGGCGGCAGACGGGTCACCCCCAGGGTTGAGGATGGGACACAGGTCTCAGGATGGGGCCAGCCTCGGCTACAGTCTGGTTTGGGGGTTTCAGGCTTGAACAGCAGGAAGTGGGCCTGGCTGCCCAGGAGAGGAAAGGGGAAGCGAGAGCAGGCCTGCACACCGCAGGGTGGGCTGCGGCCCATGCGGAAACACCCGCCAGGCAGCTCACTACCTGGCACAGAGGGCTCTCTCTGAAGCCCAGACCCAGGTTCTGCCCAAGGAGACACCGAGCTAATGGAGACCGGGCAGCTCTGTCCCCAGCAGGTGCCAACGCAGACCCCAGGCTCCACGGCCAGCAGAGTACACAGCTCCTAGGCTGGGCATGATCCTCGAGCATGCTGCTGGGGCCAGGAGACGGGGGCCACGCTCCCGGGGCGGGGTCCAGGGGCTTCTGACTCAGGGCACTTGCCAGCCTGAGCCCACCAAGGGCAACAACTCTTACCATATCTGCAGTTTAATTCTCTTGCCATCGAGCTCTATGGTCCTGATTTTAAAGTCAATTCCTGAAAGAAAAGAGAAAAGGCACATCACGGCCAGCCACTTCCCCAGCTGTGTCGGAGGTGGGTGCTGTCACCAGTGGGTACTGGCACCGCAGCCTACAGAGACCCACCTGGCCTGGTCATGGGCCACACCACGTCTGGAAGCCTCTGGTGTCACTTGCCCTGCAGAAGGGGTGGTACCAAGGAGCGCTGGGGGATGTGAGTGACGCTGTCCGGAGGTGGGCCAGAGTGGCCCAGGGCATGTGGGTGGCAAAGGCTGGTCTTGTCTCTGGTCAGCTGAGCTCACCTCTGGGAAGCCCTCTGCAGGTCCCTTCCCCGAGTCTCCTGCGTCTCCTCCTCGTGTGGCTTGGGCCCCATTGACTCCCCGTGTGCACCCTCTGGCGCCCAGTCCCTCAGTTGGGCAGACTTCTCCTTCAAGGCCCGCCTGAAAGTGGTCTCCCGAGAAGCCTTCTCGAGCCCAGCTTCCTTCTCTCCCACCTCCTGGCCTCATCCCTTCTCCCGAGGGTGACCTCACAGGACTGTGTGACGCCCACAAGCCACCTCCCAGCCTCAAAACATACAGCCCTATGTTGCAGCCTCCACCCTAAACCTTCTGCTGTGTCCGCCAAGGACGAGCAGACAATCGAAATGTGCTATTTCCACACATAAATCTGCACACAAGTGTCCAAAGCAGCTTTAGTAGTAACAGCCAAACCACAGAAACACCCAGATGGCCGCCAACAAAGACACACACAGTGTGGCTCCTCTACACACGGAGGTCAACTTGGCCATAAAAAGGAGGGAGGCGCTGACACAGGCCACGGTGTGGACGGCCTTGAACACACGACACTGAATGAGAGACGCCAGGCATGGAGGGCCACACAGGGTGGGACTCCATTGATAGAAACATCTGGAACAGGCAAATCCACAGAGACAGGCAGCAGATTCCTGGCTGTCAGGGGCCGGGGGTAGAGACGGGCAGACCGGGGGGTTGGTTTCTTTCTGGCACAATGAAAATGTCCTAAAATTGGAGGTGGTGATGGACAGACAACTCTAAAGTCGCCAAGAGCCACCGAACTGCGCACTTGAAATGGAGGAGTCCAGCCGGGCTCAGTGGCTCAGCCTGTCGTCCCACGCCTTGGGAGGCTGAAGTGAGTGAACTGCCTGAGCCTGCGGGTTTGAGACCTGCCTGGGCAGCGAGACCTCACCTCTACAATAAATCAAAAAAGTAGCCGGGCATGGGAGCGCGCGCCTGTAGTTCCAGCTACTCGGAAGGCTGAGGCGGAAGGATCGCCGGGGCCCAGCAGGTCGAGGCTGCGGTGGCCGGGAGCGGCCCCTGCCCTCCGGTCTGGGCGACAGAGTGAGACTCCGACTCAAATAAATAAATAAATAAAAAATAAATGAGTGGATCTCATGGTACATTAATTATATCTCAACCAAGCTGTTAAGAAAAAAGCTCCTGGGGCTGGGCATGGTGGCTCATGTCTGCAATCCCAGCACTTTGGGAGGCCAAGGTGGGAGGACTGCGTGAGCCCAGGAATTCAAGACCAGGCTGGGCAACAGAGTGAGACCTCATCTCTTAAAAAAAAAAAAAAGAAAGAAAAGAAAAGAAAAAGGAAGAAAGCTCCTTCCAATGGCTTCCCCGGTCTCTTCCTCCAGAAAAAAGTCCAAAACAAGCTGCTCACCTCTCAGCACCTAGGGCGTGACTTGCTCTCTCTGGCCACACTGCCCACATACCCTGGCCATGCCACCAGTGCAGCCCTGCCACACTGTCCACGCCTTGACTGCTGCCTAAACACCCTGCAGGCGGTTCAGCACTGGGACCTGCAGAGGGCTCCCCAGAGGTGGGCTCAGCCGGCCACAGCAAGACAGACTTTGCGGCCCGCACACTTGGCCAGCCTGGCCTGCCTCTCCCCCCACCCCACCCCAGCA